GGGAATACACTTGGGGTTACGCGGAGCAGGGAACCTGCCCTCACCCCAAATGCAACCAGGAGCTCATTGCTATGGCCCGAGCCCCCTTGACAGAGTGGACAAGCAATAGTTAGCCCCCAATTCCTTTAACGGAATCCCTTGCAGCAGCAGCATTAGAGGGGCAGGCACTCAACCTACCAAGGGCAGGCACTCAACCACTTCCCCTCAACCAACCAAACCATAAACCAATGCCTAACCGCAACCTTACAAGTTGTGATGATTTGCTACGCAGTAGGCAAAAACCAAATGGCCCCAGCCAATCAGCCAGATGGACAAAATTCCTACCAGGCCCCTGCCCCAAGAGCAGACGACCCCATGACAGGCATAGCAAGGTCAAAGCGAACAACCCTAATTCTAGGGAGGGGGACGGGCAATCCGATGCACGGTCGAAAAGAGGAAGCCCTAGCCTCGTGCAAGGAGTTTTAGCATTTCTGGCTGTCAATCAACAAATGGCAACATTAACTTCTTCCCAACAACAAGGGAAGCCCCAATCGCATCAGTGGCCAATGAACAATTAGCCCGCCCCCAACTTTGGAGTGTCCTGGCGGCCCCCACCGCAACACGTGCTCTCCATGAAGGAGAACACGCTTTCCAACCTTTAGAAAATATAATTATGAGGTGGGGGGGGGGAAGCATTAACAGGAGGGAGCGTGGCCATGAAGGAAAGAAGATGGCTGTTTAAACTCTAGCTCTGCTCCAAAGCTCAGAAAAACTGTTTTCAGCAAAAGCCCCGGTTGTCAAAACCCCAAACCTTGAAGCAAGGAGAGGGGAATGCAAAAGGATTTAGAAAAGCTGAAAATAAAAGACTTCACTCCATTCTTCCTGCCCTGAGACAGAAGGCTTACTTCAACAAGGACACTAATGCATGGTCCAGGATGCTGCCGCCCTTAAAAGTGGCCTCTTCCTTACTCAAAAAGAATATCTTAAGAGAAGAATTTGCAGCACAAGAAGAAGCCATAAAGAAGCTTATTAAAAAATACTTGGAAAGAACTAATGCTTCCAATGGAAACGAAACTGACAGAACTTAACAGGAGACTTAACAGAAGCAACTACAGCAACAAAAGAATTAAGCCAAATCCATGCCCCCCTCCCCAAATCAAAGAATTACAAAAAGGAAATACAGTGGTACCTCGGGTTACAAACACTTCGGGTTACAGACTCTGCTAACCTGGAAGTAGTACCTCGGGTTAAGAACTTTACCTCAGGATGAGAACAGAAATCGCGCTGCTTCGGCGTGGCGGCAGCAGGAGGCCTCATTAGCTAAAGTGGTACCTCAGGTTAAGAACAGTTTCAGGTTAAGAACGGACCTCCGGAACGAATTAAGTTCGTAACCAGAGGTACCACTGGACAGATATACGCAACAAGCTTGAAGATGCAGAAAATCGAAATATGGCAATTAATTTCCTTTTTTTTTTTTGGTAGAGAGAGTGCAAGAGAATGATCCTGCACAATTTATTGCCTCATGGATTAGATCACTGCTTCCAGACCTCATAGTATCTGCTGACGATTTTGAACGGGCACACATAGCACTTGGACCCAAATTTAGGGAGGGAGCTCCAGTCCCCTCCCCATGATATAATTGTCTGCTTTTCCCCTTACAGGTAGGAGGAGGAAGTGTGGAACAAACAGAGGAACCTAATATCCACAATGTATAAAAACAGCCCAGTTATGGTGATACAGGATCTGACTTCTGAAGCACTGAAAAAAGGAAAAAAATCTACGTGCTTGCACAATTAAACTGCAAGAAACTGTAATTAAATATCACTGGGGCTTCCCCTTCTGTCTTATCGTCATGAGAGGATCAATATAGGTCATAACAACAAATAGACTGGAAGCAACACATCTCCTCAATATTTTTGGAACTAGCCTACCTCTGGAATGGCAGCAAGCAATGGAAGAAGAAAAAGGTGAACTTTTTCGTGCTTTCTCATTTCTCTTCCTGCCACAGCGGTATCTATTTATCTGCTTGCACTGGTGTGCTTTTGAACTGCTAGGTTGGCAGAAGCTGACCTTCCGATCGGCAAGCCCAAGAGGCTCAGTGGTTTAGACCACAGCATTTAGAACCAGCCTAAAATCCAAAACAGCTTCACACAAACCATGCTTAATTTGTGGAAAGAGAAGGCAGGAATTCTGATTCCAGCACTGCCACCACTATCCCCCCCCCACCTTCCACCCCCTATTTAACAACACTTCATGACAATCTGATGGTGGGTGGAGGAGGAAGCAAAAAGTCTGTACTGGTTATGTAACTTTTATAATAGAAATGCTCCACTCTCAGACCAAGAAATACGGACTAAACTAGCTAGGAAACTTAAAAAACCCCTTGGCTGCTACTCCACCAAATCCACACTTTTTTGGCTAACCCATTTACTAGTAAGGCATCCACAAGACCACTAGCCCAATTTGAAAGATTTGTAAACATCAGTTGTTATCTTCACTTTGAACCCCCCTCCCACATTCATCAATATACTAAAACTATATTGTTTCATTGGGAACTGAAGAGGAAAAATGACTATTACTCATACTTAATCTAAGCACAACTACAAGGGCTCCTGATTAGGCATTTAGCTATGAGATATTGAATGTTATCTGTTAAATCTGCTCTATCCTGTTTCCCCTTTGCTTCTGTTTAAACCAGTTCACGAACCAAGAACTTATATATCGGCCACCAATAATGAAGCATATGTTGTAGATATTACTGCAAATTTATTATGCTATTTTTGTGATATACAAATGACACGAGAGGGGGGAAAACACTAATTTTGCAGTTCTGGAGCAGAAACATTCATACCACCACAGAAATAAGAATATGAATGATAACAGCAATAATTCCCTTTGCATCAGGATATTCTCTAGCCAATTCTCCATTTATCATTCAAATGGCAAAATCCACTGACATATTCCTCTGTTAAGTTCCCATTTACTGTGCAGGAAACAGAACTGGTAGATTGTGCTGAAAATCATTAAGAGCTAAGTAGGATGAAGAGAAGAACTCGCACACCTATTTTTTTTAGCCAAATGCTGGAACATGAAATAATTTACAACCATGTGAAGTTACCAGCTATTTGGGAGTATTAAAAAAATCCAAATTAATTACCAAGTACAACATCCAAAAACATGAACATAAAGATAGAAATAATGAAATGTAATTGTACGTTATTATTATGATTCTTTAGCTGTTGCAAATATGATACAAGACTGATCTAGATTAATAATTCATTCAGCAATAATGTATCAGGAAAAGATAATTATACAGTGCCACAATTCTCACGCTGATTTCTGTAATTACAGATTACAACAGTGTTAGCAATTTAAAAAAAGGTTAGGGAGCGGCAGTAATTTGCCATGTCATCTTCAGATGCATTAATCTCTCTTTCTTGGAGCATCAGGGATAATTGGAAACACAATAATGGGTCAAGTAGGACTACATGGCCTTGCCTTTATGTCTATTGGCAAACATGCTGAACATGGTGTACATTAGCAGCTACTAGCCATAAATTGCTCATTCAAAGTGTTTACATAACTTATACAGGCAGGACAAAAGGTGACTTTCCAAGGGCCAAGAATAACTAAAGCAGAGAAAGATGGCTCAAAGCCCAAGTTGAGCTTTCTTAAGTCCCATGGATTTGAATGGGTCAGATTTTAGCACATGTCTAACTCTTTCATTGAAACCAAAGAGGTAGAAGAAGAAAAAGCAGATGGCCTTTTGCTAAGAGTGTAATATAAGCCTATGTGGGAAGCCCATGGCTAAATTAATACCTGCACCATATTTCCTGTGTGTGCACAGAGTTCTTGGAAAATAAATCCCACATGAAAATGCATTAAACTCACAATCATAGTTAGCAGAATGAGCCAGGATGCACCATACCATGAGCGTGTGTGTGTGTGTTGTTCCCAATCTCAAGTATTCAAAATCACTTAGAGGAAAGGAAATCTCCACAGTAATATATAGGTAACTATGTATTTGTCGTCTATCTATCTATCATCCAGTATGCCCACATATGGTTTTTTTTATGCCAGAAATTGGTCTAAGCCAATTTATAGCAAAATAAGAACTTGTGCCTTATTTTCATAAGTTCATGTGTGCTAAGAAGTATTTACTACAACAGTGTTTGTTTCTCATTTGAATTATAGTGGGAGGGAGGAAGGTTCACTTGGATGGAAGTGAGAAAGTTACAATTGCAGAAACATGAAAAGGGAGCCTAAAAGCCGAGAGATAGAGAGAGAGAGAAAGGTCCAATGTTTTTGCAGAGTGTCTTCAGCAATAAATTCATGAGATCTATCTATATGACATGGAGATGGTCCAGAGCTGAAGGTCAGAAGGAGAAGCAAGAGAATAAAAGCATCATGCAACACAGCCATAGGGGACAAAATGAGTGTGGAGGTCAGCCAAGATGAATGAGGGGAGGGAAAGGGGGTTGGAATAACAGGAGGAGAATGAAGTCAAAGTCAGACAGAAAAGTGGGTACGGAGATAGGTTTTTTTGTTTTTTGTTTAAAGCAACTGCTAGCACAGAAGTCGATGGAGGAGAGTTCTGATGGAGGGCTGATTGTGGTAGAAATGTAGCCAAAAGGTGAGCCAGTAGTGACAGAGAAAAGCAAATGTTACTGCTCAGTTGGGCAGGGGGAAAAAAGAAAAAGAAAAAAAAGGACAGACCAGAAATAGTGTCAGTTTGGTGACAAAGGCAGTCAGTGCTGGCGGTCAAAAACGTATAAATGAGCAGCAATTCTACAGTGATACAGGCAGGCAAAGAGTGAAAATAACAGTTAATGATGATAAAATTAAAGATAAGCATAAGATGATAAAGCACTTCTGTTTAAAACAGATTAATGCCACATTCTGTAAAAGTGCGACCTGACACAAAGAAACAACTTCTCAAACAAACAAACATTTTTTCAGGGACTTGGGAGATTCCAGGTTGGTCTGACACAGTCGAAATAAATAAAAAATTGTCCAGTAGCACCTTAGAGACCAACTAAGTTTGTTCTGGGTATAAGCTTTCGTGTGCATGCATCTGAAGAATGCATGTATCTGAAGAAGTGTACATGCACACAAAAGCTTATACCCAGAACAAACTTAGTTGATTTCTAAGGTGCTACTGGACAATTTTTTATTTATTTCGAATGGGAGATTCCTGTATTCTAAAGAGACAAATGATCTTTGTCATATGTGGAGTAACAACATGCCCATCGTTTGAACATCCATTCTAAATTATGCAATGATCATCTTCTCTACAAGGCAACTTTTCAATCAACAGTGAGCGGATGGATATGAAGACATGAGAGGGATATTAGTATGCTTATTATAAGTGTATCAATCTGACATCGCCAATGCTAAAACTGTCTGCCTCGTGAAGATTGCTAATTATTTAATACTTCATAAACTATGGGTGTTTGACAGAGAAATTGATATCTACGTTAAACAAAACTCATGTAGTGTACATATTTTTATTAACGTTCTTTCACAGTGAAATGTGCAATTAATCACTTGTCTTTATTCCCCCATCCACAAATTCTCAAACAGTTGGAAAAAGCCTATTTAGGCTTCGGTACAACTATTTGCTATTTAAGAAATCTGAGGCAGTCAACACAGATTGCTTTCTAAGTAGAGTAAGGCACTGCATCACATTATTAGAAGGACAGAATGCTGCTGAGGTTAACATAACAAGCCTTGTCCATCATGGAAGAGAGGTTAAAGCTGAAGATTTTCTTAAACTGTATGGATTGGTGCTATATAAAGCAAGTGCTGTGGCTGAATATTTTTTTGAAAAGGGAAGACAGGGTTCACTGATGTCAAACTTAACAGCAGTAGTTCTAGAGATTAAAGGATTCTTATCCTTTAGTTAAAAAAAGCTGCACAGTATTTTCCCATTTGGAAATGGGCAGATTACTTTGCAGAGTAATAACGTTTATCTTAAAATAGATATACTATTAAATCAAGTCAGTTATAAGTAATAACAGTAATAAGGAAATTCTATGGGGTTTTTTTAATGCCATGTATAGGCTACCCTATGGCATAGTTCTCAGGTCAGCTCACAAAAAGAAACCATTAAAAATTCAACAGCAATAAAGACATAATGGTCTGTTTCACACAACACTAAGCCATTTAGCTATAGTGTGGCTTGTTTGAACATCTGAAGCCAACCCAGCAGACTAGCCATGATTTCTTTTCAGGCAACAAACTATGACGTGAAGCCATGGTTTGCTGCTGTCTATGGCTTGTTTAGCTATAGTTTAGCATTGAGGTTTGAGCCCAAGAGCCTTGCTTCACGATGGTTTGTTTGGCCATCCCACCTCAGGCACTTGCTGACCAAAGAGGCATGAGATATGGGCAGGTGGAAAACAAGCCAAGCTCTGAAGGAACAAGCCATGGCTTGTTTGCTAATGTGTGTTTAACAAACCATGGTTGAAACATGCCGTGGCTTGGCATCAAGTACAAAAGCAGCCCAGTGTGTAATTGCCTGCTAAGTAGGTAAGAGATACTGTCCTGAAAATGGGAATGTTTTTAGCATCTAACGCATATTGATCTGCCAGCACAGGTGCTTGACTATAAAGCCAAATGGCCCCTTTCACCATAAATGGCTGAATCCAGCAATTCTTAGCAATTGTATAGAATTGTGGCTGCCTTTATAAAAAAAAATTATGCAAGTTCTTTCATGGTTCTAGAAGGGCTGCCCTTGCAGAATCGCTGCAGTGTCGTAATTCTTGAAGCTATTTGGGGAACAGCTGGCATAACAAGTTTTACAATCCAGCCCATTAGCATGCAAAACACTTCCATTTAACCTCAGCAGCCAGCTTGAGGGCAACATTTGGTATGATATCTTCCCTATTCCTACTTTCTGCAAAATGAAAGTAAGGAAGAAGGAGCCAGAAACAGTGGGATGATCAAATGAGCGTACATGATGGGGAATGTTAGAAAAGGCAGGCATGAGTTTCACACACTCATCTGACAATCCTGGTGACACTCTGGGCATTAGCTCAGTAGTTCCAGCACACTGCCTGGATTAGATTTAAAACTGAAAGAGAGCTTGATGTCGTCAGCATACCAATGACACCGCAATCCAAACCCTGCTCACTCACTCCATCCCTGGATGACCTCACTCAGTGGTTTTAACATAGATGTTAAAAAGCATGGTGGACATGGGCGTTGTTGGGCTTTTCTTAGGGGATCCGCCAGGGTTGTTGAGCTGTTTTTAGGAGATCACCCCCTGAAGTAGTTGAATTGCATTGCTTATCTAGAAAAGGACTTGCAGGAATTAGTACTCCCTGCTTTCCCTTCCTAGTTGATCTGATGATGTCCTGTATGGCAGAAACAAGAGTGACAGTTCCTCATTGCAGGCATGTTGAGCCTTAATTAATGAGGTAAAATCAAAGTAGCTGGCTCACCAACTGCCTGCCATAGTAGTTTCCTGTTACTGAGAGGTTTCCTTGAAATCATAAACACATTGCAAACAAACTGGAGAAGAAACCACTTTCCCTACTGATTGCCCACTTGAACTTTTCAAGAAGGCTGTGTTTATTTAGCATGGCGCTTGGAATGCTGTTTCTGACAAATGCCATGTCCTGGAAAGGGTTCTTTAGTGGTGGTGACATCAAGCTAAAAAGATTAAATACCAGCATTCCAATCAAATGGCAATATCTAATTCAAAAGAGTTCTTGACTCTGCTTTTACTTTCTGAGGTTGTTAAGGTGTGGGGGGGGGGAGGGGAGGGGACAGGAGATGAAGCCTCTCACAAAATACCTTCAAAAGAATTTGGCTTAGACTACAGAAAAGAAAATACATCTGGACAATATAGATGCTGTACTGTATCAACAGACAGGTAAACTGGGAAAGTGCTGCAATTTTTCTGATTTTAGGGAGAGTGGAGGCTGCTATGAACCACAATTAAATACATGTGCAATTGCACTTCACCTGACAAACAGATTCTCTTGGGGTATGAAATTATGATAATAGTGCAATGACAAGTGCTTTAGTAGGAGCCGTTTACACTAATGGATTTCTGAAGGAAGAATAAAGCGACTCTTCTCAAGACAGAGATTCAGTAGCAGGGAACTTCACACAATGCCAGTGGTGTGTACTCTATTCTGTTTCACAAAATCTCTCATAATTCAAATTCCTCTGTGCATATGTCACATATGAACAAATAACTTCATTGTTCAGAACATATCTTTGTATGAACAGTGCTGCTGTTGGGGCATAGTGTTATTTTCCATTTTTCCTCTTACAGAGTGGGAACAAAAGTGCTTTTTTTTTAAAGTGCAGTTTGGGCAACTTCAATAAAAATGGAAAGTTTTACACTTTCAGTTGGCAGTTTAATAACACTATGTTAGTTTATTATTTACAGCCTTTGACATATTAAATGACACTATAATGATATGTATTAAAGCAGCACTAATGTTACTGAATTTAGCCTTTGATAAGGAAATCCAAGCCTATAGGAAAGTGTGTGTGTGTGTGTGTGTGTGTGTGTGTGTGTGTGTGTGTATGAATTCTTTAAAAGCTTGGCACATATAATAAAAGTTAAGTTCTAAGTATTTCACTTTTAGGTGCAACACAGCATCCCTTTCTAAGGCAAAACTTCAGCTTTGTTCCATGGTGGCAGGGCCAGGCTCTATCACGGGGTGGGGGGGTGGGGGGGGAATTAGCTAGTGTGTCCTGTTATTGGTGAGAAGGGTGTCTGTATTCAAGGCTGCACACAGTGATGCTACAAGTCCACCTCAACCTAACCTGACCTACCTCACAGAGTTGCTGTGAGAATAAAATGGAAAGGACAACCATGTATGTCACCCTTAAGGTATTTCGAGGAAAAGTAGGGTGCAAATCCAACAATAAATAAAATTGTTGGATGACTTTTACTAATATTACTGCGCATACATCACTAAATCCCTTGTCCAGGGTGGGCTAAATTAAGAACCGCTATGAGTCAGAAGATTATGCTGAACGCAGTCTTAGAGAATGCAGTAAACCGAAAAGGCTCAAAGTGGCATAATCTGATTCAGCAGGTTTAAATGAAGGTTTTCAAGAAAGGGAGAAGAAAACAAAATAATGAGAGATTACACACATCAAACAGATCCAACTTACTTGTTTCTTAAGAAAAATAACATTCCTCTAACATGTATCTGCAAAACTTGTTCTTCTGCCCTTCCTAAAGCATTCATCCTGCCCCCAATCTTCCTCCTGTCATAGCAATGCCTACTTCCTTTGTTGCCATCATTAGAGCAACCTTTACGACTTGAGCAAAATCTTGCTAGAGTTTCCAGAAGAAACCATGGAAAAACAGAAATACACAGCATACTTAAGCTATTGTGGATGAAGGAACTGATCATAATTTGCATCTGAAAGCACACAGCCACAGCATCCCATTTCAACCATGAGAGGGACCACACAAAGCTCTGCAGAGCTCTGCTATGTGCACAGTTCTTTACATGAGTTTTCTACATTCTCTTTAATGCTGGGAAATGCACCTTGTGAATTTCCAAAACTAAGGGTAAAATTCAACAGGTAAGTTCCAACAGTGGAAGCCCTGTGTAAGTGTTTCTGCAATAGGACTTCCCCTCTCCCCCTACGCACCCCCTGAAATTGGATCAGGAGAACCCCCAGAACAGCATGAATGGGGAGGAGAGGGAGGGTCTTTAAGGAGTGTGGATTTTTAGGGAGGAATCTGATGTCATACTAGGGCAATTGCTCCGCCAGGGCAAGCATATCAGCTTGCCAGACAGAACAATTCCCTTAGTCAGTGCTACGGCAAATGCCTCCCTAAAGACGCACACATTCACCTGCTGGATCCTGTGAATGTGTATGTTGTTAATGAGACTGCTATGACTCTGTGATCACAAAATAAAAACCACTCTGGTGTTCACATGCATACCACTCTGAGGATTTCCTTGTGATCCCTTGGAATGCTATGTTAGAGAGGTAGTGTACTGCAGTGGCTGAGAGAAGCTGAGTTGTGAACCTGGTTCAGATTTTGTCTTTGCCATGAACTCAAGAGACAGCTTAAAACAAAACAGTATTCTCTCAGTATTCTCCAAATCTGCAATATGAGGATAATAAATAATACTGGCCTACATTACAGGGCTTTAAAAAGAATTAAT